GTCTGCTGGTCACACTTGCTTGCAACTCAAGTGAACTGACTAATTTGCCTGACAATTATAGACAGATAATTGCCAAAAGCTCAGTCAATGAACACTTAGCTATACCTCAAAGTATATTGATGACACGTGTCTTTACAGATCTTCTTTCATGGCTTTAATACTGAATGTGAGTATCTTTTCAATGCAGCCATTTAGAGAAGTTTTATTCTTGAATGACATTTATAAACATATAAATTAAAATACGTTAATATTTAGGGTATGTTCAAAACAATAAGATTCAGCATATGAGCTATATAACAAAGTCCCTGAAATTTTGTTCACAGGAGACCTATTAGCAAGATAACCTGAATTAGTCATGAAATTGGCTAAAATTTTATCATTTGTGTAGTTGTCACAGGAAGAGAAGGGAAGTGTGAGAAACAGAGTTCAACAAAGTCTTGTGACTTCTCCAACATTTCCTTTTTGTTTATCTAGGGATTATTTCTCTTAACTCACAAGGCAGTGACATGGAGACAACAAATGACTCTTTGAATATGGAGTTCATCCTCTTGGGCCTCTTCCCTGGCATGAAACACACCAGCTTCCTTGTCTCTGTGATTCTTCTGATTTACATCGTGGCTCTCACTGCAAACTCCATCCTCATTCTCCTGATTTTTGTGGATTCTCGTCTCCACACACCCATGTACTTCCTGCTCAGCCAGCTGGCTCTCATGGACTTGACATTAATTTCTAGCACTGTACCCAAGATGGCGAATGACTTCTTCTCAGGAAAGAGGAACATCTCACGTGTGGCCTGTGGCACTCAGATCTTCTTCTTTCTGACGATGGGAATCGCTGAATGTATCCTAATCACCCTCATGTCCTATGATCGGTATGTAGCCATCTGCAACCCTCTGAGATATGGCCTCATCATGAATCACAGAGTCTGTCTGCAGATGGCTGCCTTCTCCTGGGCAGGGGGTGCCCTTACATCACTGGCACACACGGCTTATGCCCTGCATTTTCCCACTTGTGGTTCCAGAGAAATTTCCCATTTCCTCTGTGAGGTCATGGCCATCCTAAAGTTGGCCTGTGAGGATATCTCAGCCTATGAGAAAGCTGTGGTGGTGACAAGCACTGTGGTACTCCTCATTCCTTTGTCCCTCATCCTGTCCTCTTATGCTCTTATCTTCCTTGCTGTCCTCCGTATGAACTCCCCTGAGGGCAGGAACAAAGCCATGGCGACCTGTTCCTCCCACTTGACTGTTGTGAGCCTCTACTTTGGTCCAGCCATCCTGGTCTACATGAGGCCCAGCTCTTACCATAGTCCCAAACTTGATCACATTCTATTTATGCTTGGTGCCATCCTCACTCCTATGATGAACCCCCTTATTTATAGCCTGAGAAACAAAGAGGTGAAACATGCTCTGAAAAAGGTGTTGGGATGTTACTTATCCTAGAAATAGATGAGTTGAACATTATAAATGATAACCACTAGGTTTATTTCAGTTTAAACGAGCCTTGCTTAGAACTCAATGTGTCCATTCTGATCCTACTATTCTTGAAATTGTAATGGGACTTCTGGCTCCATGGATCCAGTCCATATATGAGGCGGACTTCAAAAATTTTGGAAAAATTCCATTATCCTTTAACTTCAGTTAACTTCACTTTTCCACTAACTTTTTGAAACTCCCTTATGTATTAAAACAGGCACACTTCCTCGAGACATAGGGCCCTTCCTCTGATTTTGAGCCTCCAGGAGTTAGGTGCTCATAGGTTGTTGGTGATGTTGCTGCTGATATTAGTGGTTGTGTTGATGGTGATGGTGGTAATGGTTTTGGTAAAGGTGGTGGTAATGGAGGTCGTAGTGATGGTGGAGGTAGTAGAGCTTGATGGTGATAGTCTTATTGTTCGTGATGTTTCACTGAGAATGGTAACTGAATCAACTCTGCTTTAGTCAGTCACAGAGCACAATGTATATCAAGTTCACTCTTTGAAAGAGGTTCACCACTGCTGTAAATTCAGAAATGTTCCAGCCTCCAAAAGCTCCTTAAGTGAAGATAAAAGCATAATTGGATTTTTGGTTTCCAATTATTAAAATGAAGGGGGAAAATCAAATTATCTTTAAGATCTTTTATAAACCTAAAAAACGCTGTATTCAATTATTCTATTTTAAATATTGTTATGTTACTTAAAATTTGGTTTTATGAAGTAGTCCTTTATACCAAAAGGAGAATATATAGAGATTTATTTTTAGTTTAAAGCAGTATATTTAAGAATGCAAAATCATCTCAGATTTAATGGAAACAAACAGCTAAACCACTCGAATTGATGTTAGCAGGTTTTTTTTGTTGCTGTTATGGAATTTTAGTGCCCTTTTCTACAGAATTTCCCAGGAGTAGCAATTTACATTTCATCAGAAAGGAAAATAGAGTCAAGAGAGCTGCATCTACAAATGTGAGAATATTACTGTGTTAACTTCTGATAGAATGAAAATATAAGACCTGCAGTGGAACCCAAGGAATTTAGTAAACAACCAAAACCACCTTCCTGCCATTTAGTCAATTCTCACTCATCACAGGGTAGAACTGCCCCTGCAGGCTCCAACAGTATAACTGCGTGAGTCTCTCTCCCATGGAGCTCCCATGGAGTTTTGAACTGCAGACATTGCGAATCAAATCCCAGTGGGTCACCACTCTGCCACTAGGGCTCCCCTTTACTCCTAAATTACTATTTAATCCACCACATTTTAATTGTCTTAGATGCTTGATTGGATTTGCAAACTGGAAAGTCAGAGGTAGACATTAGAATAATTAATGCAACTGGATAAGAGTTAGAAAATAAAAAGGACTAGGCAATAGAAGATGTATAAGTTATACTCAAATCCCTGAGCAGAAAGACTAATTATTTTTTAATACATTGACGATTATATGGAAGAAGTATTTTTATTTATAAGATGGAAAAGTAAAATGTTATGACATTCTTCACGTCAGTAATTAAGGTGAAACACCTGTGCAAGGAAGAAATGTGTTAAACCAGAGTTATTGTAGAAAGAGCTGGGGGTGGGTTATATCTTAAGAGTCCTTGACAATGATTGAGTGGATAAATGCAAAGACATGTAATTTATTTCATAAGCATTTGCTCATGTATCAGCTGTCCAGTTTGAGCTTTGTGTTGGTGATAATAAAGCTGAATTCTGTGAACTCCAGTCCCTCCCCCCAGTATATTATTTTATTAACAATAAATAAAGCAAGAGCTAGGGTGGTTTAGAAATGCCCTATCCAACAGGTTAAAAATATACTTCAGTAGAAAGGGTAGTATTTTGTTTCAGTAAAGTAGTACACCACAGGTTGGGTATGGATTTATAATCTTATGTATTACATCTCATTCATAATAGTTAACCCCATCTCAACAATCAGTATGTGGGATGAAGCAGAGGGAGCCTATATGGGAATTGTGTTGGACAGGAAGTGAGATCTATAGGTTGCCTATAGAGTCTGGTGGCTTCACACAAACAAATATTTTAAGTATCATCCTCCTGTCAGCAAGAACAAAATGAGTCTGAAATTAAAACAAAAATTTTTTCTTAAGAGAAAAAATGGAAAAGTCCTCATACACAGCAGAAGTTCTTCCATTCACTGTTGCTGATACCAGCTCACAGCACTAATCAAAAGGGAAAAGCCCTGGCATATAGGGAGCATAACCAACCCAGCTAAGTGTCCATGAAAACTGTGCTTGTCTAAATGTCTCCCTGTGGAAATCAAATATGGTGGAAATCTCTTCTTCTCATCTGCTTGGAGACCTTCCCATGGAAGTGGCTAAATAGACAATGTAATGAAGTTAATTACTGCAATCTTATTCCATATAGTTGTGAACTGAAGTGACAAGCTTCAAAAGACACATTAGATACGATACTTGTGCCAGAGCAGGAGCAATGTGGATTGGGAAATAATTCTTCTCTTTTCTTAGATTGTGGTTTCTTTGGAGGGAATAATTATTGACAGATTTTCAAATAACTTATCTCTCACTGATACAGAATATTTGACTTCTCACCTATGTACCATCTCTTGAGTTTATTGAACTTAAAAAATTATTCTGTGAAAACTTAAAGTACAATTAATCATTTATTGCCCCTCTTATAAAATGAAGAATTAGAAGGCCAAAATCCTCACTATTAAACCACAACTCTTTATTGAGTCTAGAAATAAAGTCAAACCTCAATCTGGTTTGACCCAACAGCTGTAGTTTCTGTATTTGGTTATTCTTCCTGACATGAATGCTTTAGGTTCCACCTCATTAGACATTGTTATTATCTTTGGGTAACAGGCGATCTGAGTTAGGAATGTACACTTATGGACCACTCATTTATCCTTTAAGTTTATGGCAATGTGATCTCACTTTGAAATAACTGAACAAATTCTATTGAACAACAATTAACCCAATAAGAATGAATTTTTTATCACGATCACCTTCGCTTGATGCAAGCGCAGCTTTTAAATCATTGCAAAAGCTTCCAGCTGTTCCTTACACTGAAATAAGGCTCAATATGCAATTAATCTGACTAATTTAAACTTTCTTAAAGACACAGGAATATATCTTGTTCATAACTCTGGAGACTACTTGTAATTTAATTATTTTTCCTTTCTCAAATCACACAGTTTTGTCACATATTTCAAAGACGTATTTATAACACCTCCTTTTAACTACCTTGGTTTGGCTTACAATTATTATTTATATAGAATGTGAAGAGCCTAGAAATATTTTCAACCCTTTGGGGTGAACATTATGAAATTATGCTCCTGTTTTTATACACGTGATTAATCAGATTAGAAACAAACCTATGGTCAGACAGGCATAAGACCACCCATATCTTTAAAAAAACGCTGTGAAATCACCTAGTATAATGATGATAAAACTTCTGTCTCCATGTAATTTTAACAGCATCAGGGATCAGATATTTGAGTATTATGGCTAAGGGAATTTAAGGAGCTAGAAACAGTGGCATAGAGATTTCTCAATATTAAAGAATTAAAATGTATAAGAAACCCACAGTCAAAGAAAGCAGGAGTGTGGATATTACAGTTTGCACTTGATCTTAGCCAAAAGGCCGAGAAAATATTGCTATTACAGTCTGTCAGTCTTAATCTGAATCTCAAGTAGCCTCTCTTTATCTGTCCTGCTCAGAGTTATTTATTCTCTATTTGAATTCATCTCTTAACATCGTTGTCTCTATATGTGATTATTTCTCCATCTCTGGCCTCCTATGTGTGTGTCTTCTTTCCCCTGAGCACTTTTCTTCTCTAAATACCCTTGCCCATCTCTCCTCCCTTCTTTTTTGTCTCTCATTGATCTTGCTATTATTTTGTGATGCATAGTATGAACATATTAAAAATGAATCTAAGATAATTGAAAGGTGTCAACATGATGCATGTGGATGGACCTTACATGGATGGACCTTACCTGATGGAATACAGAGGAATCAAATGGACTACATCTGTGGAAAGAGAGGCTTGGAAGCTCAATATCATTTGAATGCATACAGATATATATCTTTAGCATTAGTGAGTTAAATATATCAGTAGTGATCATTTAGAATGACACAGATATATGCTCTACTTTGCTCAGAGTCACAAATTGAGGAGGAATGGCACAGACTTTTTGTCAAAAAGAATATTTGTAGATCTATTGTGAAAGAACATGTTATCAGTGAAAGGATAATATCCATACAACTACAAGGAGACCAGTTACACTGTTATTCAGATTTATGCATTAACCACCAATATGAAAGAGGAAGAATTGGAATATTTAAAACAATTTCTAAAGACTGATATTGATCAAACATGCAGTCAAAGATGCATTGCTAATTATTGGTAATTGGGATGTGAAAGTTAGAAACAAAATAACAGCTTTGTGATAGAAACAGTGTTAGAGATCACACAATTGACTTTTGAAAGGCCAAACATTTCTTCATTGCTTTTTCAACAATGTAAATGGCAAAGATGCACATGGATCTCAACAATGGAATACAGAGAAATCAAATGGACTGCATCTGTGCTGAGAGATGACTGGGAGTTCAAGATCATCTGTCAGAGCAAGTCAGGGGCTGATTGTGGATCAGGCACCAATTGGACATATGCAAATTGAATTGAAGCTAATTAAAACAAGTTCATGAGAGCCAAAGTATGACTTTAAGTATATCCTATCTGAATTTAGAGACCACCTCAAGAATACATTTGACCCATTGAATACTAATGACTGAAGACTAGATGAGTTAATGGTGACATCAAGGATGTCATAAATGAATAAAGCAAAAAAATAATTTAAAAGAAAGAAAAATTAATAAAAAGGATGTCAGGAAGACTGATATTTGCTCTTAAACAGAGTAGCTTAAGTGAATGGAAGAAATGATGACATAAAAGAGCTGAACAGAATATTTCTTTAAAAAAAATCATTTTGTTGG